CCCCCCCCCCCCCTTTCCTCTGTTGCCTCCTCGAAACCAATCCAAACCTCACCCACACGACAAGCTACGGCCTGGTGTTCGTCCTCGGCTTGGATGGCACGGTGAAGGAGAGCATGCACGACGCGACGGGTCGGACGGCGTTCGTCAGCGCCGCGTACCGGAGCTCCAAGAGCGGTTACACGTTCCTCGGATCGAGCCAAAACAACTATCTGGGGCGGGTCCGGTTGTGATGTTTTGTCTCGTTCCCGAAGCCGCCGCCGCCGCCGCCGCTTCTCGGGTGTGCGCATGATACTTGGCCCTTCACCTCTCTCTCTGCTCTCTTAAGCCCTTGGACTTGTCACACAGTTATTTGCGTAGCCGTTTTCTTGAAAAGTTATCTGTTGAATCAAAATGCATTCGACGAATGTCTTGTGGTCGTTTCTGTCCCCCCCGTCAAGGTTTTGTGACTGGAGGAAGATTAGTTAACTGGTCTGGTGCCGTCGTTGTCGCATCAACTCTGTAAGCCGGTGCGGGTAGGGTTGGAGATCATTGCGCGTGGTTTATTTTTTTAGTCTTTGTGAAGGGTTCACGCGACCTGCATCCGTTCGACGCGATGTATTGATAGGCCAAGCACCCCTGTGTAAAAGTAGCAGTTGGGGTAGGAGCATCTGTATGTAGTGTTCGTGCCCAAGAAGAAGCGTACGGGAATTTGCATGTGTTCGATGCGCGAGCGGGTAGAGCAAAGCGGATCTATCCCGCGTATGTATTCCTCGGGAGTACATCGAGAAGCAAGAGAATGTTTTGCCCAGCCGCGATGATACCCATAGAACAGGGGCATCGTGCAGCAGCAACAGCACAGACCGTGTGTGTACTACGAATCTACGACGTGAAATAAACCAGGTTGTCATCAATGGAGCTTTGAGAAATGATTGCGAAGCCAGGTGTGGTGTGAATGTTGACACATGAATCGTATTGGTGCGCACAATGAAGTACTACGCTTTCCCCTACTATTCTCCGTCCAGTACGTCGAACGCTTCATACCGCCCCTTGGCTCGTTCATCATTCATTCATGTTTTGCTTCACCCATTTTTGCCTGTCTGTGGAGAGTTTGTTCGCGTGAACACACGCCCCGGTGGTCTGGTGGATAACCTCGCAGCCTGCTATGGGCCAGGTCATGGGTTTGTTTCCTGGCAGAGTGAGATTTTTTCTCACTAAATAAATCCTCGTCTAGGATGAAAGGGACGCGTTGCAAAGCTCGTTGTTCGTAAACCATAATCGACTTCGTAAGTCGCGGGGGAAGGGATTGCTGTACCCTTCTCGCGAAAAAAATACCTCAGGCAGGAACCGCAGGAGGGGGTCCAGCCCCCCCCTCCTATGTGACCCCGGTTGGGTCGTCTAGCTAGTAGAAGTGGAGGATAGGGGCCAGAGGGGCAGACGACAGAATCCGATGATGGGAGAAAAAAAAAAAAGTAGGTGCCAACATCTTATCCATCATTGAATAGCTGACCCTGGTGGCAAATAAACCTTATTTACCAGCGGGAGCACAAGATCGAGCTCTCGCCTCGCCGGTCTCTCGGTGGTACCCTTCCTTTCCGTAGCGGAAAGAGTAAGAACGATTAGACTAATAGAAAACACAGCCGTGATCAAGTGTCGGATCTTACTTCGTTAGTCTAGCCGTTGAATCTGCGCCAGCAGTAAATACCACACTCGGAGTCTGTGGCTCTCTGCCATAATGCACATGGACGTTGTACGTCATACAAACGTGTGGAATATGACCAACTATCACAACGTAATAGCTTGTTTGCGCATCGAGGCCTGTCAGGCGGAGAGGCAGGCTGGACAGACCAACGACGGAGACAACAACATGCGAAATGTGCGGTGCCCCCCCCTCTCCCTCTCCTGTATTTTGCGTACCCCCCCCCGTGGCGAAAGTAAAAGCGAAATTCGGTAGCGGTAGGGAGGCATCGCGAAGATAGCGACGAGGCTGCAGCGTGTGTGTTTGCGAGGAAGAGAGAGGGAGGGAGACGAGGGAGACAAAGAACCGGAGACGCATTTGCCTTCAGTCTGGACAGGAAGACAAGGTGCGCAGTCCGGGAATGTGTGCGCGTTAGGCACGGCAACGCGCGGAGACCTGCTGCTGCTGCTGCAGCTGGTGCAGCTACTCCTGGACCATGTAACCCCCGATACAGCGGATGCAGCCGCAAGTCGTTGTCAAAATGTTTGTTGCTATAGGATAGGCCTGGCAACTACCCGGCCACGAGCTGATTATTTTCGGACGGAATGCTACTGGCGCGTTCGATGTACGCAGCTTTCGTCCCTCTCTGGTTCTCGGCAATTCAATTTTTCGGCAAGCGAACCCGCTCGCTCCAAGCACACACACACCCGCCTGTTTTTACTGCTTTCTGCGAGTTCGGTTCTACAGCCTCAGACCCGCCCGCTACCTGCGTGGTCACGTGCGTCACGGTTCCTATCCGAGGTAGCTCAAGAAGGAACGCTACGGAGCACAGCAGGCATTGC